TATTGCCATATTTCATATTTCATTATACCACTCATTTCTTTGAATATCCCAATTCCGTCTGCAATATTTAACCATCACTAATCTAGCTGCCATTATCAAATTTACAATCAATTCCTTTTTTGCTTCATTTATATCTTGTTTTTTCACCAGTAACAGTAATGCGATCCGTGATTACAGTTTCTTAGTATGATAAAACCTGTATCAGGTAGAACTGTAGCAACAATTTAACAAAACCATTTTATGACATTACCCAGGAAATATCATCCACTCAAAGGACTTCATTTCATGAATGTGCAGAAAGACGTTATATAGACTATTTTTACAGATAATCCTTGACTTATGACTACAATTGACCCCAGGATTTCCATTGCTAAGCAAAACAGTTGTTAATGGGTTTTGCCCCATTTTGCGACCTTTCTTGCTCCAATTATTAAATGAATCACTGCAGTTATGAAATTAGCAACTTGATTGTTAAGTGAATCTGGCTTACCCATTGACATTGACATTGTCAAAAGATCAAAAAAAGTGACCACGTGACCCTGGGACACTGCAGCCGCCAAGCGTCCAATTTTTGGTCACATGACCAGGGAGGCTGCAATGGTTGTAAGTGTAAAAAATGGTCATAAGTTGCTTTCAGTGCCGTTGTAACTTCAATTGGTCACTAAACAAATGGGCATAAGTTAAGGACTACCTGAATATTAGTATTCCGGTATACTGAGGAGGCCCCTCATCAGAAATCTAAATTCTCCATAGTATTCCCCATAGAATAATGGCTTTAAAATAGGAAAGTAGAAGGTGCAGTTATCAGATCCTCTGTCCTTTCCTATGCCACACCCCACAAGGCTCTTCCCATCTCTGTATGATTTGTGCCAATTATATTTTCCCCACTAGTTTTTTTTTTCATTTTGTCTCTTTACTGTGCATTGGCTTTCTCACATCATATCCTTTCATCTTTCCTGCTATATTTTCTAGCGTTCTATCTTCCACTCTAGCGTTCTATCTTCCAGCTCTCCACATTGCTGAAGTTTATTTTTAAAGTTGGTAGATATAAAATAAAGGCAGATATTACAGAAGATATTCATAGGCAGCCTCAAGGTGCTAGTCACTGGTGTGGCCTTCAAGCCAAAAAAAACAAAAACAAAAAAACCTAATACTCATCTGCTTTAAAAGTCTTTTTGGGTTGGTTTTCCAAATGAAATCCAGTTTTTGTGGTATGAAACTAGGTTTTATTTATCTGCATTGTAATGTTCAGCACTCTACATACAATAAATGTTCCCATTTTTAGTTATAATGTACAATATATGCTGTCTATTGCATATTAAGGATTTAAAAACAATGCATTGTGTAACAAAATTAATTATGGAAACGTGGAAATGAACATCTAACATCACTCTTCCTAATTGGCTTACTACCTATTTTTTAACAACACTAGCAAATAAATACAACTTGTAGTCTTGTGATAGAGCATTCTTTGATATGTTTACTAAAGGCAAGTGTTGTTAATGTTTCATCTGTTTATATTTAGATAAATGTGGCTAGCTATCTCCAGGTTCTGTGTTTGGCCGAGAATTTAAGAACCAATATCAGAGACTTTGCTGCCTTGTTAACTGTGAATAACTGTGACATCAGGCAGAGTATTCTATACTTACAGTTTTGGGTCCAGAGTGGTGCTGGTTACTTGAAAGAAAAAGGTATGACAGTCTATCATAATTACAACTCACTTAAAACTGAATGAAACATAAACAAACCTTTTGCTTTGCCTGGGCCAGATTGAGTGAAGAATTGTCTTGGTCTGCATATGAAATATATACTATAGTTAATGTAAATAAATCATATAATAATGTTAAAAGTTTATGATCTTGTGGGACCACAAGACTAGCTGTCCAGGGCCGCATGCGGCTCTTAGGCCATGGGTTGGACGCTCCTGGTTTAGGCTTTTATGTTTAAATATGTTTATAGTATCAAATTCCAGTACAAAATGGAGTCATGGTGGTGCAGTCGGCAGAGTTAGCCTGCAATACTGCATTCTAATCACTGCGCCACCACGGCTCTATTCTGTTTCTATGCTGCAATAGAAATTTTAAATGAATTTAATGAATTACATATTTTAAAATGTGAATTTTAAGCTTACCGGGAAAAACTTGTTATATTAATGTGGGAAATACACAAAGAATTAATGACAACATTAAAAAGCTTTGATACTGTTATCAGTATCAAAAAGAATATCAGCGTTATTTGAAAAATCTGCTAAAAATCTTACTTTGCACGTACTTTAGATTCAGAAAGTCCTTGGCTTAGGATGGCAGTTGGGGTGAAATTGCCACTGTTGTATGACAAGTCATAAAGTATAACATCCTATGATCATGCCCCACAGTGACTGCAATTCTGGCAGTCACAGTTGCCACAGTTAAACTAGGATTGTGTGGGTCGTTAAAGGAGGACCTCGTGTGTCCTTGATTTCTGATTTTCTACCAGCTTCCCCATTGACTTTGCTTGTAGGAAACTGGCAGGTTGCAATCACGTCACCATAGGGACAGCTAGATTATAGGGTAAGCACCACTCGTTCAGCACCATCATAGTTTTGGCTGGTCACTGAACAAATGGACTGACCCAAAGACTATCTATAGTAGGGGTAGGCAACCTTGGCTCTTTTATGACTCGTGGACTTCAACTCCCAGAATTCCTGAGCCAGCCATGCTGAGGGAAAAGAGAGAGGTTTCCAAGCTGAGCCATGCTGGCTCAGGAATTCTGGGAGTTGAAATCCACGAGTCATAAAAGAGCCAAGGTTGCCTACCCCTGATCTATAGTTACATATCTTCAGGTACATCCGGATATCATGATTTAACACCCTTAAACTTTTAAAACTTTTTTGTACAGGGAACAGGACAGAGATCAGTGGCACACAGCAGAACATCAAAGGAACAACTAGCTCAAATTCAAAGAAACCTATTCTTGAGAATATTCCACAATGTAGTACTGGCTGCACTGAGAATCTGCTTGGACTTAAGAACATATTTTTGCCTTCCGAAGATTTGTTCTCGTTTCTTAAGGTACATCTACTAAAATGTTTAACAAGAAATGAATCTTCGACCAAATGTTGCAGCATGGAATGTTCCTGTCCAGGAATCTTGCTAGGCCATTTGCTCTTCCTTGTCTTTGGATTTGTTTTCCTTCAGCTGTACTACATGGTCAGTGAACAAGGGAGCCTCACTGGACTTTTTTTTTTTTTACCTACAAGTGCTATATATCCATCCAGGCTTTAGTACAAGTAGTTCTTGACTTAACGACCACAATTAGAACTGGAATTTCCATCACTAAGTGATACGGTCATTGAGTCACACTTGATTTTACAACTTTTTACTATAGTCATTAAGTGAATCACATAGATTTACCAAACAAATCTGGCTTCCTCCATTGACTTGTTAGTGGGAGCCCCCCAGGAAGGTCACAAATAGTAATCGCACGACTCTGGGATACTGCAGCCATCCTAAATATATGTCAGTGACCAAGTGCCCACATTTAGGTCATGTGACTGGGGATGCTGCAGCAGTCATAAATGAGAGGACTAGTTGTAAGTCATTTTTCAGCACTGTTGTAACTTCAAAAGGTGTTTAAATGAAGGGCTGTAAGTCGATGACTACCTGTATGAATAAAAAGGTAATTTTTAAAAGACAGAAATTATAAGAAACTTAATTCTACAGAGTTAAGCAACCACGTTTAGAAAATTACTTTTTCAAAACACAAATTGTCCTTTTCTGATAGATTTCAATGTATCTGATTTTATTAATTATTTCTGGTGTGATGAAAGACAGCGTTTAAAATCAAAATAGGCTCCAAATCTCTCTTTTCGTGAATGATAATGAACTAATGGTTTCTCTACAGCGTGAAATGAGAACAAAAGAAGATTGGAACAAACTCATACATCTGCTCACAGAATTCCAGATGAGGAATACAGATTTTATTTATAGCAACCTTGAAAACATCTCATCTTTGCCACTTAATATAATTCCAGAAGCAATTGAAATAGCCAGTCCGGCGTGTAGCTTTATTGCAGAAAAGGCTTCAAATCGTACATGCATTGATGTTGAGTACGTAGAGGAAGCCCCTCCTATGAAAAAGGCTAAACGATCAAAATGTCCGAAAAAAATGGCTGTATTGGACGATAGCGATTTATTTGAATGTGAATTAAATTACTCTGGGTTTGTAACACTATCACCCAACACAAGCACTTCATGCTTAGAAGAAGCAGGCCCAGTGGAACCTACGAATGTTGGCACAATGGCACTGAAGGATGGAACATCAGTCAATGCAAAAGATTCTGTATTTATATTCCAGTGTTTAAATTCCTTAACTGAATTCCTGGACAATATGTCTTTCTTGGACTGTTGTTTCACTGAGCCCACCCAGGCATCAAAGCAGGCTGGTAAATATGAAGATTTTATTTGGACTAAAGGAAAAATAAAAAATGGTCTCTCTGATGAATTTAGTGCGGACTATACTGACTGGTGGAGTTCTCAAAGCTCTGGCGAACTAAAAGCAACAATGGAGGCATTAAGTTTTAACAAATGCTCTAAGAGCATTTCAAAAATCATGAAAAATCAAAGTTGCTTGAACTGTAGTAAAACTCTCAGGAAGAATGAATTTGAAGAACTCACTCTCCATGTTTCAAAAGAACAAGCTGATTTATACTTTGGTCGGTCAGCAGCTAATTCCAGGTAAAGTCAAAACTTTTCTTAGGTTTTACAGAACGAAATGGCAAAAGGGTGTCCTTAATAGGTAAAGCAGAAGCCCTAAAGAGAACAAAGAGCTTATATTATTTTGATTAAGGCCTGGATATAAAATGCTCGTTAGGAGAAATTGAGTTTGAAACTGAAGACAGCGAAGGCAGAGACTCACATTGGTGTGTTAATTTCTAAGGTAGAGAGCAGTTTTATCAACAAAGTTGTTTTAGAAGTAAACTTGTTTAATACATGAGAAAAATTTTACACTTATCCAAGCTGCTGCTCTTTATACTGTGTCTCATCTAACTTAGATAAGGGCTTAGAAGTAGTAAAATGAGAATGGAAGATTTAGCATTGATTTGTATGTTTTTTACGTTTAATATCCAGTCTTAATCTCTGCTTATTACATGATTCCTGAGACCTTCATTTTTTAAAAAAGATATTCCAGCTTTCTTACAGAGCACAAGGAAAGGATCAGGAAACTTTAAGATATTAATTCAACAATCTGCTGTAGATACTCACTTCTAAAAATATAACTGTGATGGAAAATATATTATGTACTTCTCTTTTACAGTGTTCACTATAATGCACAGAAGAGGATAGAATTAATTAAAACTGTGTTTTCCAGTACACCTTTAAGTCTTAATAACAGACAAGCCAGTGTAATGGAATATCTGCCAATTCTTCGCAACATTTGTAAATCAGAGAAACAGAAAGAACAAGGGAAGACAAAAAGGAGGTAAGTATCTATAGTTGCTCAGTTCTGGACAGATTTCTATAGAAGTAAATCTGAGGGGTTTACTTTCTGGTGTGTTGGAATACAACGTGTGTATGTATCTTGAGTTTCAGACAAAAGACAAAATTATAAATGGTTAAAAATGATCAAAATGTTTTCATCTTGATACTTACATCTAAACTACTGCTATTTTTTCCCCCCCCCAAACAGGTTTCTTCATTACCTGGAAGGAATTCATCTTCCCAAAGAAATTTTGAACAGCCTGGCAACTGACTTTCCTTAAAACAGTGGCCAAGAATAACATTGTAAATAGAAATGTATATTCAAAAGACAATTATATTTTTAATCTTTATTTATGAAGGATGCAGGTGTACCAATTAATTACTTTCCACATTCCAGGTCAGCTTTTAATTTGAACAATAGATCAATTCAGATCAATTCTTTTTTTAAAAAAAAATAGCTTTAAGCTTATCACTACATCAACTGATTGACTTGAAAAAGATGTGGCTTTCTGATGTTAATAAACATTAGAAAGCCACATCATTTTCAAGTCAATCAGTTGATGCAGTGATAAGCTTTAAAAAAAGCATCTATTTGAATTGATCTATTGATCTAGCAATAGATCCAGATTAACCAAATGTTACCAGGGGACATTCAACAATTGCCCTGCTTTAGATTGACGTGGTTGATGTGTTGGATGCATCTGCAAATGTGCAGCCCTGAACATTTGTCTCTAGCAGGAAAAGGCTATGAAGGAAAACAGCAAATTTTGTAAATCCCTTTGTTACATTGACAGCTCTTTTCAGCTGTTTATTTCTGTAAATCTTTTTATACTATTTTATTGTTGTACCAACGCTTGATTTTTTTAAAGTTTCTATCCCCACAATAAAATAAAATATCTGGAAGGAAGGGCTTAACTTTTTATATGGTGATTTTGTGATGTAAAAATGCAAATTTTGGGCTCCACCGCTCATTTCTCTGACTTCTTTTTGTATGGAAAAGTAATCATTAAAACCATTCTTACGTTTTAAACAAACCTCTTGGTAAGATGTGGTTAAGCATTTAGCATCTTCTACCAAACATACAATATATGGCTTTGAAACATTAACAGGTTGCTTATTTGTTACTTGTCACCGATCCAAAACATGTTAATTATATATTTTTTTTCATTTTGAATGTGTTTAATTGTTATCTAAAGCTAGGGAGGGCAAGATAAGCTGAGAATAGAAAATAATTTTGACACTAACACCTCAAGATTACCTCAACTTTTGTAACATTACATCAAATGTCACAGATCTGCCGTACGATCCAGAAGTTGCACAATCATGAATTTATTTAATTCTTAAGACATTTCATAGGTGTCCAATACCAGAAGCTCATAAAATGCTATTGCCTGCAATAATGAATCACATAGTTCCTCCTCTCTTCTCCATGGATTACCCAACATTGCATGCATTTGCCTGGTAGCTATGTTGTTTGCAAAGCTCACGTGGGATGTTTCTTTAGCGGAGTCCAAGAGAAACTGTTTTACAAGGTCCACTCCACTAATTCGTGCCTCTCCCAACATCAGCCCAAAATATCTGCCTACAGCATTCCGGGCCATGCTCAGTACTTGGGGTTGTCCATCCTTTCCAAAACTTTTTTGCAATAATGCATAAAGTACAGCTTCCATTATACGAAGATGCAACGTTACTGGAAACAAGGCAGCATTTGTGGGAGGAAGTCCAACTTTTTCCAGAACGTAAAAGTCTGCTTCAGGAATCTTGGATATGATAGTAGATACCTGAAACAAACAAAGTATAAGTCAGATTTATCCAACCCGAATAACGCAGCACCACACATCCTAAAGCATGCATTGGTTACATTAATCGACGAGAAACGTATGTATATGTTCCCCAAATAACTTTCGGAAAGTAATGACCTTCGTAAAAATATTCTACAATGAAATTATTTTGAACTGTACTTTAAAAGCAGTTTTGAATGAGTAAATATACAAACTCGTGATTTAACTTGGTATAGAATGAATTGGGTCCATCAAAAACTGCCTCTAGATGGGAATATTTATATGTTACTTATATTTAAGGGTGTAGGTCTATACGTATGTTGTATATAGTATGTTTTAAATGTGTGTTACGTATGTGTACGCTTTGAGAGGAAGCAACTAAATTTCATTTTTAATGTGTGCCATTGTGCCCAAAGGAAAAAATGACAATAAAGGTTTATCTATCTATCTAATATTCTTCTCAAAAGTGGGCTAGAGATCTGGCAGATTTTTGCTAGCTAAACATGCTATTTTGTGCATGTCGCTGCAAAAAGGTAAGGTACACTCTAGAACAGGGGTTCCCAACCCTTGGGCTGCAGCCAGGCCCATTGGGAACCGGGCCGCACAAGGGCTTAACAAAAGTTCTTCACACACATGATATTATCTATTGGATGCCAATTCTATAAAATTGGGTGGCTGTGACAAAACTAAAATCATGAGTTCACGTGTGACATACAGACCTCCCGGTTGCTGTAAAACACTTCAAGAATGAAAAAGGGGACCCCCACCAAGACAACATAAGATGGCTTACTGTATCAAGGTAGGTTGCTGGTGTGAATGTTTCTTCCTTATTTCTGTAGTTTTCCAAATGCCAGTTCTGCACAACCAAATCTCTGTTAACATGAGCCCATGAAATTTTTTGCACACCAAAAACAATAGATACAATACTCTTGGCAGTCTGAAAGGGAAAATGAAAAAGAGGTATCGGCATTTAAATATTCATTTACAGCCACAGGTTTTCTGGTGTAAGTAAAGATGCAAGTAGTCCTCACAACCACAACTGAGCCCACAATTTCTACTGCTAAGCAAGACAGTTGTTAAGCGAGATTTGTCCCGTTTTACAACCTATCTTGCCACAGTTAAATGAATCACTGCAGTTGTTAAGTTAGTAATATGGCTGTAAAGAGATTCTGGCTTTCCCATTGACTTGGCTTGTCAGAAGGTCACAAACGGTGATCACGTGACCCTGGGACACTGCAACTGTCATAAATACATGCCAGTTGCCAAGCATCCAAATTTTGATCACCATGACTGGGGATGTTGCAACAGTCATAAGTGTGAAAAAGTCGTCATTTTTTTCCGTTGCCGATGTAACCTCAAACAGTCATTAAAGGAAAGGTTGTAAGTCAAGAACTACCTGCTTTTCCTTTCCTTCACTTACTAGAGAACATGGAATTGCTCCTGAACATAGCTATAAAATTTATTTACATTTATTCGGATTTTTAATACAAAGCAAAGACAGGATGGTTATTAATCCTAAAGGCATGTTAATCCTAAAGATGGTCATCAATCATAAACTCAAATGGTTGAGAACTTCCACGCATAAAAATCAAATGTATTTATTTAGCCATCGGCACACCACTTTTGATGTAGCACTCCCTAAACCTGTACACTCCAGAACTGCGAGTACCACTCCTAAAATTCCCAACCCGAAAGACCAGTTGTGAATCAGGACACATTTGAGGAACTTTTCCTTATGCTTCTAATTGCTGGCCTGTATCGAATAAGCTATTTCTGGAACTGAAATTTAAATATTCGTTTGTGTTAGAGCAGAAGGATCTACTGAAAACGCCTAAAAACCCCAGGCATATTTTTGTAAATCACCCAGAGTCATTGAGAGTGAGTGGGCAGCCATAAAAATTCTCTAAATAAATGAATAAATAATTTTACTAAAGTAGTCTCAATTCTTCTAGAATGACTCTTTATGTTCCTATCATTTCATATAATTTTGCCAATCTAAGATGCAAAAAAGTCATGTTCAGATAAGGAAGGCAGACAAACTTCCAGGTTTTTTCTTAAGCCTCATACTTTTAATTGAAGAATACTGTAAATCTGGTATGCAGCCTGGTGTTTACTGACTTACAATCTTAGGTATTTAGCAGTGTTGGGAGTTATTTTATAAGCAGGCAAGGGAAACTGGAAGTGTTAAGCAAAACGTACTAAAGAGAACTCAGAATCCTGCTTGAAAAAGAATTGCTTTTGGTTTTCGGCCTCTGCCAAGGAATTTAAAGCTTTCTTAACAACCACTTCTACCCTGGCATCATTTTTTAATGTATTTATTTGTTATTTAAGGCTGCCTACTCACCATTGATTTTGAGTGAATTACAGAGCTTTTCTTATCTTGCCCAACCTCTTCTCAGTTACCAACATACCTCAAAATGCGAAGTAATTCACAAGTGATTTTTCTCACAATCAAATCTATTTGAGTCTTGGAAATAAGTCACACTATATAATAATATTCTATTATTAAACTTTGGAAAGGCAGCTATGTTGAAAGAGCAACTCTCAATTACAACAAAGATGAACTCTACACTAGGATGTAGGGGAAATATTGATTCCTGCTGACAATCGTACCTTCAGCCTGCTTTTTTTAATTGCAGGACTGATGCATTTCCTTGCAGACATCGGAGTGCATGTTTTTTTCTCTTCTTTTTCTAGAGGGTTGAGAATAAAGCTGCATACTTTAACGGCTGTTTTATACTGAAAAGAAGGCACTTGCAGTAAACTCTGTAATTCCTGAAATGGCCCGTGCTTGTTTCTATACTCTATTACATTAAGAGACTTTTTCCCTTGCAATAGTTTAACAGTAGAAAGTTCTTCTTCGGAGGCTGAATTGAGAAACCGCAAAATAACAGATTGCTGTTCAGAAGAAAACAAGGCGTCTATTCCATCTTTTGCTTCAGTTCCTGACGGAGAGATCTGTTTTGTGGCACAGGTAGATTTCTTATGGTACCAAAGACCTTGAGACGAAGGAAGCAGAACCTGAAGGAAGCATCTCCTTCCTGAAAATAAAGGGAGATTTCAGTCATTCCACTAGCATCAGTAACAAAATTAGTTCAAGCATTTACTGATGAAGTCAGATTCCTAGTTATTCTACTAGAAATGCTAAGGCACTTTTCTCAGTTCTTATGTGAATTTTTCAAAGTATTACCCATCCTAAACCAGGGGTCTTCAAACTTGGTCCTTTTATGACTTGTGGACTTCAACTCTCAGAATTCCTCAGCCAGCATATCTAGCTGAGGAATTCTGGGAGTTGAAGTCCACGTCATAAAAGGGATAGGTTTGAAAGCCCGTCCTAAACATTCTACCAAAAGCTGAACCATTTTATCCCATTTCTGTGTTCAAATTTTGTTCATTTATGAGAACAGATTCCCCCCCCCCCAGAACTATTGTATTTAGACCTCTTCTGTCCTTACTCATCCTCTCTTTTACTACAATAGCCCCAAATGTTATGTTGTTTTCTTGGGGGCATGGGGGATGGAAAAGTGACAGCTTTCCACATTCAGGAAAGCCTTTACACACTACCATTGAAGCTGATCTACTGTAGACATAGTTTATTAATAACCCACAATTGTCTGGATTCATATAAAATACTAAATGATAAAGAGAATTCAGAAATTGATTTCCTATTAGTAAAAAGCCTAGAGTTTTGCCTAAAGATTAGCTTCTAGTCTTCAATTGGAGCAAATAAGCCATTTTCAAATCCTACCGAAATCAATTGGATTTGGATTACTGATAGCAAATTTTGGGTTTTAATCATTTAATTGTTGTTAATGCTTTAAAGTTTTTATACTCGTGCTTTTATGTCACTATAAGCCGCCCAGATTTATTCTATGAGATGTTAATTTAATAAACAAATACATTTTCTTAAAATTATTACTTTGATTTTTAATTATTTATTTGAAGGGATCATCTGTAAAACAGAAGTTAAAATTATCAGCAAGAGGGAGTTTAAGATTTGGAAATCTTTAAAATTAAAATTCCCTTTTTAAATAGGCTAAAATATTAACCTACCTGTTGTGTGAATCCACCTGTTATTTTGTTTATTTAGGCTGCACAGGTAGTACTCAACTTATGACTACAAATTGAGCCCAAAATTTCTGTTGTTAAGTGAGACATTTGTTAAGTGAGTTTTGCCCCATTTTACGACCTTTCTTGCCTCAGTTGTTAAGTGCATCACTGCAGTTGATAAGTTAGTATCCCAGTTGCTAAGTGAATTTGGCTTCCTCACTGACTTTGCTTGTCAGAAGGTCGCAAAAAGTGATTACATGAACTTGGGACATGGCAATGGTCATAAGTATGAACCAGTTGCCAAACCTCTGAATTTTAATCATAGGATCATGGGGATGCTGTAACAGTTGTAACTGTGAAAAACAGTCATAAGTCACTTTTTTGGGTGCCGTTGTAACTTCAAACAGTGACTAAACAAACTGTTGGAAGTCAAGGACTACCTGTATATGTCTGATGTGCAAAGCTAAAAACTCAATGTTATATGCCTCATTTTTTAACTCACAATACTGTGTGAACCTGAAAGAGGCCTTATTTAAGATTTCTAGTTACTCAATTTTGGTTGCAAACCTCAGTTGCTGAATCATTTTGCAATCAGGGAACTCCATGAAACTACAAAGTGCAAGCACAAATATATTTACTATACTTTTTAGCTGAGCATATCCTGCAAACACAGCCAACAGTAATTTGTTGAACAAACTATAGTTAAGCAAACCACTTAATGTAAAATGTGTGGCTACTAGATACTGTCTCTCCCCTCCGATATTTGATAAATGCTACTAGGTCAAGTGACAATAGCTACTCATTTGTTCAATTTTAGTTTGTTCAAATGGTAAAGCTATGATAATAAAAAGCAATTTAATCTGTTCAACTAAATCTCAAAAGGTGCCAGTTAAAAAAGAAAAGAAAAGAGGGGTAAGTATTTTCCAAAATAAGTCATGGTATGTCCCATCTCTGTTTATACTGAGCATTGCCCAAACCCAAGTAAACCTCAACACAATGTGAAAATTTCTGGATTGAAAATGCAAAATGTGATTCAAAGCATTAATGGAACAGCACATAGCACTTTTCAAGAAACAACTTAAAATAGGTGCATCTTTTCCTGGGCTCCTATAAGTGCCCTTTGCAGCTGATATACGATCACACGCAAGGACCTGTTTCGTTTAAGTAGTTCCCAAATATTCTATATGTACATGTGCTCCAAATTACATTTTGCCCTTCGATTTTATCTCTGCCCAGCTCTATTCTCAAATACACTCCAAAATGCATTCAATAGTAAAAATGAACAGTTCTCTATGATTTTGGGGAAAGTTTATCCATCATTACTGATCCTACCAAGGAACAAGATTTTACAGGCTTTTTCACAGCAAAGTGAACCTACCAGAGAAAACTGTATCCAAGCAATTTGCTCCATTCTAATTGTTAAATTAAAAAATTTAGACCTATTGCCTAACATCCATTTTCGGATAATCCATAAAAGACATTCTGCCAATATGTGCAGGCCCCAGAAGCACATGCACAGAATGCATTTCTTGTCTCCTATTAAAACCACATTTATTTTTATCCCACCTTTATTCTTTTTAGAAATACAGTAACTCAAGGCAGCAAACGTACCTAATACAGGTAGTCCTCAACTTACAACAGTTGATTTAGTGTCCATTCAAAGTTACAATGCCACTGAAAAAAATGATTCATGACCGTTTTTCACACTTACAACCAATGCAGCATTCCCTGTGGTCACGTGGTCAAAATTCAGATACTTGGCAATTGACTCGTGTTTATGATGGTTTCAGTGTCCCAGGATCATGTGATCTCCCTTTAGTCACTTCTGACAAGCAAAGTCAATGGGGAAACCAGAGTCACTTAACAATGTTATCAACTTAACTGTCTCACTTAGCAACAGAAATGTTGGGCTCAATTATTGTCGTAAATTGAGGACTACCTGTACTCCTTCCTCCTCCTATTTTCCCCACAACCACAACCTTGTGAGATGGGTACGGTTGAGAGATAAAACTGGCCCAAGGTCATAAGCAAGCTTTCATGCCTAAGGAGACTAGAACTCCCGTCTCCCACTCTTTCCTGATGCCTTAACCACTAGACCAGGGGTAGGCAACTTTGGCTCTTTTATGACTCGTGGACTTCAACTCCCAGAATTCCTGAGCCAGCCATGCTGAGGGGAAAGGGAGAGGTTTCCAAGCTGAGCCATGCTGGCTCAGGAATTCTGGGAGTTGAAGTCCACAAGTCATAAAAGAGCCAAGGTTGCCTACCCCTGCACTAGACCAAATATATTGAGGGAGCTTTCTCCAAAGGCGTCCTCCAGTTGTGATGGATTACAAATTCCCCACACAACTGGAGGGCACCAAGTTGAAAAAAAAACTGGCATATCTTCATTTATTTCCTGGGATCGCTATATATCTTACAAGCATGCAATTAACAGGGCAGACACTACGGTAATTCCATTTCCTGCATGCAAATGCATTACCAGTGTCACCACCACTCTTGCCCATCTAAGTGGGTTTTGTCCCATTTTACGACTTTTCTTGCTACAGCTGTTAAGTGAGTCATTGCAGTTGTTAAGTTAGTAACCTAGTTGTTGAGCGAATCTGGCTTCCCATTGACTTTGCTTGTCAGAAGGACGCAAAAGGGGGTCAAATGAACCTGGGACACAGCAACCGTCATAAGCATGAGCCAGTGGTCAAGCATCTTAATTTTGATCACGTGACCATGGGGAATGCTACAATGGTCATAAGTGTGAAAAACGGTCATAAGTCACTTTTTTCCAGTGGCCTTGTAACTCTGGTCATTAAACGAACTGTTGTAAATCGAGGATTACCTGTACTTAGATTACCCGGGCGGCAGCAACGGCCAAAACATTATTTTCTGATCGCTCAAGCTTGGCAACATTCGCTTTCCCACTTTATAAGACGAGACCCTCTGCAAACTCCGTGGTCCCTCCGCGAGGAATGCCTGCACGAGCGGCCGCTTGAAGGGCAGCGCTTCCCCACGCCGCCTCCTTACCGCCCCAGAAGAGCTCGGGAAGGCGCTTCAAGCTCATCCTCGCCTTCTTCTAACCGGCGCCACGCGCTTTTTACTCCTCTCCCCGTTTCCTGTTTGCCCGGTCCCCGAAAGCAAAGTACCGGCTGCATTGAAAGTTAAGGCGGATAGTTCCGGCCCAGCGGAAAAAGGCTCCTGCGTGCGGGGAGGTTTCGCAATCGCTCTCTGCCAGATTGACATTCGGAAGGGGCTAATCAAACCCCTCGAAAGAGAGGGGCTTCGGAGAGAGTCCTTTGCGGAAAGCAACTCTCCTTTTCCCCAGTCGTTAAATCGCTGGGAAACAAGGAGGCGAGATGGCCGTGCGTGTGTGTGTGCCCGGAGCAACCTAAGAAGCGACTGTGAGCCTGGCTAAAGACACGGTTCCTTGCACGATTTAAACAAGAGGACGTGTTGTTTTTGTGTCCTTCAACACCTGTGTCTGCCAAGTTCTGTAACCCTTTTTGCTGAAAAGGGAAATTGTAACGTTTGTGATTGACTCCCTTTAGCTCTGCAAGCAACAGTAAAGGCTGCAAAGATGGTTTTGCCCGTTGTCAGCAGGAGCTCCAAAATATATTAAAATACAATCTAAAGGGGGGAAAGGGAAAGGGACTATAAGGATGAAGTTAAAAAGTACATAATACATAAAACAAGTATATAATAAAGATGACCTTCAACTGTTTCTAGTACAGAGACAATTTTGTTTGTTTGATATCCCACCTTTATTATTTTAAAATAAGGTGGTGAATCTATTCAACACACCTTCTTCTTTCTATTTTCCCAACAACAATCCTGTGAGGTGGGTTGGGCTGAGAGACGGGCTCAAAGTCACCCAGCTGCCTTGCATGGCTAAGACAGGACTTGAACTCTGGGTCTCCCACTTTCTAGCCTGGTGTCTTCACCCCTAGACCAAACTGAATATTGTTTTTATTTATTGTGTGCTATCAAGTCATTTTTCAACTCCCAACAACCACATAGATTTTTTTTTCATGACAAAAATGTCCCTAACCTGGTCCTTCAACTCTTTCAATAGCATTCATATAGTCACTGTAACTGAGTCCATCCACCTTGTTACTGGCCATCCTCTTTTCTTTCCTTCCACTTTTCCAAAATTAGAGCCTTCTTTGCATAATGTATCTGAAGTAGGATAAATATGAGCCAGCAGTGTGCTGCAGCTGCCAAAAAAACCAACACAGTGCTAGGCTGCATTAACAGAGGGATAGAATCAAGATCACGTGAAGTGTTAATACCACTTTACAATGCCTTGCTAAGGCCACAGTTGGAATACTGCATCCAGTTTTGGTCACCACGATGTAAAAAAGACTCTAGAGAGAGTGCAGAGACTCTAGAAGAGAGTGTTGAGACTCTAGAAAGAGTGCAGAGAAGAGCAACAAAGATGATCAGGGGACTGGAGGCTAAAACATATAAGGAATGGTTGCTGGAATTGGGTATGTCTAGTTTAATGAAGAGAAGGACGAGGGGAGACATGATAGCAGTGTTCCAATAGCTCAGGGGTTGCCACAAGGAAGAGGGAGTCAAGCTATTCTCCAAAGTGCCTGAAGGCAGGACAAGAAGCAACGGATGGAAACTGACCAAAGAGAGAAGCAACCTAGAACTAAGGAGAAATTTCCTGACAGTTAGAACAATTAATCAGTGGAGGAACCTGCCTCCAGAAGCTCTGAATGCTCCAACACTGGAAGATTTTAAGAAGAAACTGGACAGCCATTTGTCTGAAATTGTATAGGGTTTCCTGCCTGAGCAGGGGGCTGGACTATATGACCTCCAAGGTCCCTTTCATCATCATCATTTTTATTATTATTAACAACAACAACAACAACAACAACCAGGAAGAGAAGAAGTGCTCAAGACTATGAGATAGACTGGGGAAAAAAAGATTCCATCGGTTGATCCAGCATTGACAACTTCTAGCCATCAACAGTGTGTAAGGGTATTCCTGTGTTAGTTGCAATGTTAGTCCTCAAAGAGAAATTAAAATGAGCTGGTTTGTGGGGACTCTGTACTGTATAGTCCTGACTTTTCATGCCTACCCTGAGTTGATATAGTATCCAATTTTGTAATAAATTGCTGTTACAATTACTGGATGATTTATAATGGCTAATGTAGAAATGCAGTTAGCTGCCTTCCCATGTTGAATTATGCTAATATTTTTCATTAATTTGGTTGCCCTGAAATGTCTGTTAGAAACAGAATCGGCACACTTGACAAATGCATTTCTTACTGTAAAGTTTCAAGTCTGAGCTACAAATAACCTCTTCTATGAATATTTATTGTACTAAAGAAAAGAGTTCTAATTCTGCCTTAGGCACAAAGCCAGCTAGGTTAGGGTTTCTCTCGGTTTCTGATCACTTCCAAAAAAACCTTGCCAGGAAAACTGCAGGGATCAGACCAGGTATGTAGTAGTCAGGAGTCAAAAACTGACCAGGAAGTCCTTTTTTTAAAATCTCTGCGATAACAATACAGGTAGTCCTCAACCTATGACCACAACTGAGCCCAAAATTTATGTTGCTCAGTGAGAAATGTATTGAGTCTTGCCCCATTTTACGTTTCTTGCCACATTTGTTAAGTGAATCACTGCAGTGGTTCAATTAGTAAAATGGTTGTTAAGTGAATCTGGTTTCCCCATTGACACTGCTTGTCAGAAGATCGCAAAAGGGGATCCCCGGGAGATTGCAACTGTCATAAATGTGAGTCAGTTGCCAAGCATGTCAACATAAATCACGTGACCATGGGGATCCCTAACCCTAACAGTCACTAAGCAAAGTGTTGTAAGTCGAGGACTACCCGTAGTTTTAAGCAGTATGACATGAACACGAGAACCAGCATAGCAGGAGGGAGAAGAAGAACGTCATCCATGTCATTTCTGCTCTGTTTTGCAGCCCGCCACAGCGATTTCTGCCCAAGCCGCCGGTTTTTGTTTTGTTTCTCGCATCGCTCTGCCCGCCGGGAAAAGCGGCCCAGCGGGCGTGGCCAGCGCGGGGTGAATAAACTGCGTGGCCCCGGGCGCCTTCGGGGGATGATAGCCATGGCTTCTGCTGTAGAGGAGCCGCAGCCCGTGTGGCTGACGGCGAAGGACCTGGAGTGCTCCATCTGCCTGAGTCTGCTCAGCAACCCGGCCACGGTGCAATGCGGCCACAGCTTCTGCCTGAGCTGCATCCAGGAGTGGCTGACCGGCAAGCACGGAAACTGCCAATGTCCCATGTGCAAGTGCCGTCTGAGCGACAAGTTGCCCGAACGCACCGTCTTGCTGAACTTGGTCCTGGAAAAATATAACTGCCTAGCCTCCAGCGACCCCCTTCCCACGCGCCTGGCGGCGGAGCCGGCCTTCCCAGACGGGCCGAGATGCAAGCGGGACTTCTCCTCTGCCAGGCGCGCTTTTCAGGTGAGAAGGAATGGTCTCCGGCGGCTCTAATATTGGGGTCTAGCCGTGATTCTTTGGGGGGTTGACCAGCTGGGTGGCTTTCGGTCCTGTCATTGTTATTCTGAGCTTCTAGACAAGCCGATCTCTCCCTTCTATCTGTAGTATGAAATGCAGATTTAGATTGGTTAAGAAAGGGTTATTATATATTATATCCATGACACATTTTAAATCTCTGTGTATGTAGTGTGTGTGTGTGTGAGTACACACACACATGCACTCTAAAGAAAGAGCTTGCTGTTGACAGGATGGGCATTTTTGGAGAAAAGGTTACTACTCCCAGACTGTAATAGGTTTTGTTGCATTAACCAGTGTGAGCAGGGTTTAAATTTGAACCTGGGATCTTCTGCATTGATGACCCCTGAGGTGTACTTGAAAGGCTTCATTCTTGGTAAACGAATAATCAAAAAGGAAATGATTGGTTATTCCCATCTGTCTTCTGTTCACCAGTCAGGCTATTTGTTTCCAGCTTTTTTTAATTGTTTATGTCTTTTTTTCATGGGTCTAAAGGAGGGGTCCTCAACCTTGGCAAGTTTAAGACTTGTGGACTTCAATTCCCAGAATTCCTGGCTGAGGAATTCTGGGAATTGAAGTCCACAAGTCTTAAAGTTGCCAAGGTTGGAGACCCCTGCTCTAAAGTATCAACTGTCAAAACTGTTATTCGATTCAGGCCCTTATAAAGAGGCTTATTTATGATGCAAAAAGTTTTTAGCTTTGAGGGATTCAAATACTTTAGCTGGATATATGCGTGGTACTGAGCCATTATGCAGTTTTAGCTTGGCTAACTGTAATCTACAAGCCATGATTTATAATCACTGTGTGTGAACATTTGTCAATTTTTGCTTAATTTAATATTCTGTGTGAATCTACAGCTGTTATGTATCAGTGATAATTTTTTTAAAAAGTCAATTTTTTGCTTTTTCCCAAGTAGAATCCTAAAATGTGTGTGGGGGGGTTGCATGTAAGTTGCATTTTTCTTGTTAACATTCATCAGAAAACAATGTGATCAAGAAATGTGAGACTTTTACTGTTGCTGACACAAAAACTTTTGATAAGGAACTGAAGGAACTGGAAAGATAATGCACAGATCCCTAAAATATTTATTTATTTATTTATTTGTTTATTTAATATATTTTATTGCTAAAGGAAACAATAGTTTGCGATATGCTGATATGAATCTAATTTAAATAGCTAAGGTTAGACTTGACCAGCTAATGACATAAAGGGAAAAAAATGAACAGTCTAGATCTCGAGGTGCTTGGTGAAAAATTGTGCAGTGTGCCTTGTTTTCTTAAAAGTTATATTTAAGAATCTAGAATCAGTAAAACATTTTCTCTTGTGGGAGTGGAGTGAGTCCAAACTGATCATGTTTTTAATTACGCCCTGGGGATTCTGGACCACTTCCTCTTGTGCCACTTCACAGCCTGGCAGTTTACTAGATAGGACCTGCCCACCCACAGGTTGATCCCCAGCCCCAACCTGCGGCATTGAACAAAAATCCTCTCACACTGAACTAATCCTGTCACACTCAGAGAAATTTGTCACAGTGAGAGTGTCAGCACGCTGATGCAACCACACCAGGAAATTCTGTGGTCCCTGCTATTGGCAATTGCGAATGCAGTCGGCATGACAAGCAACAGTGGGATACATGAACAGGAAATACAAGGCTGGGCTTGTGCAAAGAACCCAAGCAGCAGCAATTTCATTAACATTTAGACATACCCAAATCAAAGAATATACTGTACTATATATATATATAGATACAATGAAGGGTAAACAAACATATCAGAGGTTTACATTGAGCTCTATGGAGCTCTGTGGTTGAAGTTGTCTGGGAGAGTATTGTAAACTACACCTTTCTCAGCTCCGGAGGGATGGTGGCACAAAGCCCTGCATTAGGTATGGAGTAGGTGTGATAAACTGTTTCTAACTGAGTCAGGGCTATAGGTATGTAAATGAGATGGTTGAGGCCTGGCAGAAAAAGCAAGGCTGAGTTCCGCAGTCTGGTTGCAACTGATCTACTCTGAACTCTCCAATTAGAGACACTTTAGTATTATGTATATCTGCAACATGTTGAATACAGATGACTACATCAGTCAGCTATTGGCTGAAATGCAAACACCAGGGCCACTCCAGAGTGTTGAGTGTTGTTCACAACATCTTGGATGAGCTCCCGTTATGGGAGCAGTGAAGCAGCACCTGCTTAAGCCATTGCTTCCGAGGAAATATTGGCCTTCTGCTCCCCCACATATAAAGGAGAGAAGGAAGGCCATTCAGGAGGTGTTTGACCCACATCCCCATCTCCAAAATGTTGAACTACCCAGGACTATCAGAAGGAGATCCTGGATCTGTTTGATCCGGAAGAAAAACAAAAAGCTTGTCTTCAGGCAGATGCCGTGGGTAATAGGGAACTAACTGCAGGGTTGACAGATGGACGTGTATCAAGGCCACCCCCTCAATGTAGACACAAGAGAAGTTTTCTTGGAAAGGTGTGCATCCCGCAGATCTTCTAGAAATTCACAGAAGAAATTCAGGCTCTCAGAGGAGTCAGGTTCCAGCTGACACTAAAGGTTGCTCTCCAGAAAGACAGCCCTGATGGCACTGAGGAGTACCCAGATTCTGTGCTTCATTACAAGTGGGAGTCTGTCCTGCAGACCAGTTAGAGCAACATGGCACTAGACAAGGCATTTAACCCCCCTCCCCCATTCAGGAGATGCTCGAAAAATGGACCAAGAGAAGCTCCGGCTTCTGGGTAGAACCCCCTCATTTCAACCCTGAGCTACAAATATTCTCCTTTATTAGAGTGCAGACACTCTGGCTGGACATTGCCCAGTATTTATTTCCGTTTCTCTTTCGGTTACTAAATTGTTCCCTTTGGCATTTCCTGCTTTTCTGCATTTTCTGGAAGAGCAGTCATTAAAGGAAAAGGAGACCGTTGTGAGCAACATACAAAGAGAGAGGATTGCCAGCTGAAGCCACCTACCGGTACTTTTTTTTTTTTTTTTACTTTAATTTATACCCCGCCCTTCTCCCAAGGGACTCAGGGCGGCTTACAGGTAAATAAAAACAGAGCTATACAATAAATATCTAAAAGCCAAATTAAAATATATATTAATTAACCTGTATTAGAAAAATTATAAAATCCCTTTAAAATCCCTATAAAATCCCCCCCTAGGCCAATCCCGCTTGATGGAAAAGCCATGTCTTGAGGGCACGGCGGAAGGAGGGGAGAT